ATAAGAAATTTCTTATTTATTTCGCGTGTTATAGCCTTGCACGTTACAAGAGCAAAAATAGCATCGACCAGTAAATAATATTGAAAAGAAAACAATAATGTCAAAGTTCACGCACAAACAAATACTATCCAGGAATGACACGTCATGCGGCTTATTAACTGTTTATATACTAGCGGTGTTTCTCGTGGGTTCTAGAACGATCGATAAGACTCTCACGTCGCGATTGGTCTAGATAAATTTATTGCCAGTGGTTGTCAACATTTTATGCCCAACAAAATGTGACCCGATTTCAATGAAAATGATTCACTTATGTAAAAGTACATATGACGCTTTGTGAAAAATCTGTACGTGATGGAGAAAAATTGATATTATTTTCGGATTCAGCGTACAGTAATTACTGTAGAACATGTAACAATTTCAGGACAATAAAACCATCGCAGTCCTGTGTTATTACTTGTTTGTATATGAGTGAACATAGGCTTGTTTTGAAATAAAAGATTCAATTGCACTGGAAAAATTAAACAAAAAAAAGGTCTCTAAATTAACTTGTGTAAAACTGTGATTCTAAATGTTACTGGCGCGAAACTTTCTTAAACTTAAGACCTACACGAAACAAAGTAAGACCTGTAAATCGTACTATATGGTTATAGTTTTTTTTTCTGTACTTTAGTGATAATTGTTAACCAAAGTTTGACGTGATGTTAATCAAACAATCTGGTTAATTAATTTGCAAGATGATGCTTTAATTAGGATTTCAAACCCAAATCTTCCAAAAGTCGTGAATGGGTCTTTGTGGTTTAACTGTTACACAAAATCAAAAGAAACAGGAAGGTTTTTTTCATCAACATCTCTAACCAGGATTATACTACAATTATGTAAAATTCACAAAGTTTTCTTTATCGTTACACACAAATTTACACAATCGACTATCTATGTTGTGCCTATCACTGGCATTGAAGCCCGGTTTTTAACGTTATAAGCTTTCGTATTTACCGCTGAGCCACTGGAAAGGGCAATTAACAAAGTCCCCTGAGGTTTCCCATTCTACAATATGTTAGCTATGTCAACATCAATAATGGCATGTTTAAGTTGACTAGTCTAAGTACTGTTTTATTGTTTGTTTCGGATATTCGCATTAAACGTAATTTGATCTGATATTCTAAAGGGAAGTCAGCGAGTCTGTTTGTTTGTTTTGAATTTCGCGCAAAGCTACACGAGGGCTATCTGCGCTAGCCGTCCCTAATTTAGCAGTGTAAGACTAGAGGGAAGGCAGCTAGTCATCACCACCCACCGCCAACTCTTAGGCTACTCTTTTACCAACGACTAGTGGAATTGACCGTCACATCATAACATCCCCACGGCTGAAAGGGCGAGCATGTTTGGTGGGACGGGGATTCGAACCCGCGACCCTCAGATTGCGAGTCGAGCGCCCTAACCACCTGGCCATACCGGGCCCGGCAGCGAGTCAACAGCACCTATCACCAACTTTTCGGCTACTCTCATGGAATAGTGAGATTTGACCTTCACTCTTAAAATACACTCATAGTTTGATCAATAAGCACAATTAAATGCTTAGAAAAATCAAAAGCATTGATTCGATGAATTCGTTTCCTTTTAACTCCAAGACTTTTCTTCGACATAATGACGATTCATATTGTACTGGATAATGACTGTGTTTTAAAAATGTACACAAATGTGAGATTAGAGTTAAAGTAATTAAGGAGAATTAATAAAATGAATATCATGTTTCTTCCTCTCTTTGTCTTTTAACTTTCTTAGGGTTCAGTCATGTATAATCGTAGAACAAGAAATTGTTTTGGAATAAGTTTTAAAATAGCAGTGAAAACATTTCATACAATGTTACGCATTTAAAACAAGACTTCATTATCTCATAAATTGGAGCTCTTAGTAAGTTTCATATTTTTGTTACACATTACCTGATGCTGTTAATAAACACCATAAACCTTGATATTAGTCGTATTCCGGGACTTGTTAATTCAAAATTTTCCTTAAATAGCAGGATTTTTTGTTTATTGATATATTTGTGAATTTCAATAGTAAAAAAATAGAGCGATGAATACTTTACAATATATTAAATACATTAAAAGATCTGAATGCATAGTTCTTAATGTTGGTCTCTATCACTTTTCTCAAACTGAATGCCTCATTACGTTTTGAAAACTTTAGAATGTCCATCTTTATCTCTTCCATTCATTGTGAAGCCATTTCTTAGTTTAATGTTCCCATTCTTATCGCAATCATGCAGTACCCAAGTTGGCTGGGTAACATTTTCTTTTGAAGCTAAAACTTTGGTGTTGATAAGCGCGCTTCTTTCAACCATATCCTTTAAGCCATTAATCTTTTGAAGTTTCTTGTAAGCAAATTTTGCAACCATGCCCATGAACACGATTGAAATTAAATACATGGTGATAGCTCCTATCTGCATCCATATGAAAGAACGAGGGTGGGTACAAATGCTAATTAACAAGTGAGTCCCCACATAAAGTCTCATATAAAAGAAAATGGCCACAAAAGTATAGTCCACAGCATCCATTTCCCATGTTCCTTTCCATCCACTTTCAAGCATGAACCATCTTAACTGCAACACAGGATTCGACACTTCGCCTCCACCAATAGCTGCCACTATCTCGCATCCGGAGTGACCCATATATATACACAAAAATAAGGTCACAATGCTGATAATGTGGTGTAGTAACATAACAGGACCTGTATCAAAATAAATGAAGTTAAATGTTTAAACATACCCAATTTTTAAAAGTGGTTACATAAAAAAAATAAAAAATAAACTTTGGTGAATCAATTTTACAAAATATAGAATCAATTATTATAATAGCTTATCCTTTCCGTGAAAAAATTTTCTTAATATACATCTAAGGTCAGAGCTTTTTCTTTCAAATTACAATTCACTCTACGGACTTCCCAACAAAATACCTTATAGTATTGGTAAGAAACATATTATACAAGTGATGCAATGTTTTATATGAAACATACCTCTTGTTCTACTTAGCAACTAAACTATCTTCTTATTGGTTTTTAAAGACACAATGTGGATCACATTGATTGGCTGGAAGTGGCAAAGTTTATGTTTGTTGTGAATTTTTATCCCAATGTTTGGTATTATTATCTCTAGTTTCATGTAAAATCTGTGGTAAAGTGCTTAAAATGGTTATATCTATCCTCCAAAGTAACGACTGTTGCTTAAGTGTCTTAAAAGGGATGCACCTTTTGTTCAGGAGTGTATTAAAATGCTTTGCAACTACTGTATATAAGGAAAGGTAAACTCTGAGCTCAATTTCTTCTGTCAATTAAAAGGAAGAACAACAAAGATTCTTAAATAAATTTGTTCTGCTTTTCTGTATAAATACACTGCCTAGACATCCGATCTAAACTATTTATGAGGCTTTGAAAATAGAGATTTAATACACTTGGGTTACAATACCTCTGAATAGTTGTATACTTACTTAAAAAAAAAACATTCATGTATAAAAGGTTAAGCGATCAAATATTCAATTTCAGAAATTTCCTTTGTTTGGTTTTCTCTTTCTCGTTAAGATTAAGAATCATTCCTAAATTTGTTTTCTAAAATAATTAATAAACTTCAAAACATATTAACGAGGATGATAAAGTAATTTTCATCATCATATTACTTTTGTAATCTTCTAATCCATGTATTTGTTTAGCACACATTGTGGAAAATAAAGAAATATTATAACATGCAATAAAATTGCGAATAACTTTATGAGTAATCCTTACTTTGATGTGCACAAATTCTAAATGAGACGATAAATACTAATGGAAACAGCTCAAGTTTCATTATCAAAACAATAAAGCTGCGACCATGAAAGTCATCTACTTTCTAAACCAGTTTGAAAGTTTAAGTCAACTCAATCAATTCTTCATCACTTGTAAGAGAAATATGTGTAATTAAGATTCATTCTTTGAATTTAAACTGAGTATGTTATCATTTAGGATTCTTTCACCTTTTTTTCTTTAGTGTGTGATTCATATCTCATTATTTTCGTATTATTATATTTTATTGTACGGTCTTCTTTGTATTGATGCACTACTACATGCAGATCGGTATTATAGTCTATTTTGTCCATGAATTGTTTTTGATTGTCTATTTGTTTCTCCAGTATATTGGTGTCCACATTTACAAGGATGTTCTAAATTGTGTTGTTACTTTCTATTTGGTTTTTAGTGGTTTGATGTGTACTAACTGTAATGATATTGTGTTGCGACTTTTGAACATTGTTTTGATTTCATGCTGTTTACATATTATCTGTATGTAATCACACAGACTATTGACATGGTTACGTGTCTTCAATTTTTTTCCTGCTTATTCTTAGTGTTTATTTATTTTCTTTTTTTTTCATATTTTAGGGTATCCATTGTCAAGGAGAGTTGTGAAATATGTCTCTTCCTTATACTTAGCATCTTCATATTACAAATCTTGTTCATTCTGGAAACTAGGCAGTCTACATGGTGATTTGAATTTTAATTGGGGTATTTACCAGTATCTGTGAGTTTCCTGCAAAAGCCTGTGGTATATGAGTTATGAGTGTTGATACCCACCAACTCTAGAAATGGAAGTGTGTTATCTTCTTCTATTTCCTTTGTGAATTATATCGTTGGATGTTATCTATTCAGGTGGTTTATACATTTTGGTCATCTTCAACTAGTTTCGAACTTGACGGTGTATTTCTCTTTATCCATTATTAGAAAGTATTGTCTTTCTTTACGAACTAGATGGCGTTATATTTTTTCTGTTTGCATTTCATGGCTTTAAAGTGCTAACTTTATTTTGATTGCGAATTCTCTCTCTTTTTTTTTCTTCTTCTTCTGGTCTGCTGTAAGTTGTGTCTTTGGTTGTAGATGTATCCAGGATTTGTATTTTGATATTTTAGGGTGAAGTTTGGTCGTTCACGTAGTACACTTTTTTCGCGTTCTGTTTATGATCGTTTACTTAAATATATTACCGCGCGTTTCGTTGTGTCTGCAGGTTAGAGGGCTCCTTGTTTTGAGAATCTTTGAGACAATTTAGTTTATTTGATGATTGTGTGTATCTTGAAAGAGGCTATGCTGTTTGTTGTATTATCCATCTTCTGTTATATATTTTTAATATTAATCTGTGTCTTGTTTTATTTATATTATGATATTTGATTCTCTCTTTGAAGAGGTTGAGTTAGTCTTTGATATCTTGGGATATTGGCAGGTAATTTGACCTTAAGAGTTTTAGAATTTACGTTATGGTGTTTACATTTATGGAGGACGGTGAGATGGCTATCGGCTATCTATTTCAGTTAACTTATGGTTAAATATTTCTATAGAATAATCTTAGGCTGTTATCCAATTTTGCCCCCCCCCCCTCAGTGGCACAGCGGCATGTCTGCAGACTTCAAACTCTTGAAACCGGGTTTCGATACCTGTGGTGGGCAGAGCACAGGTAGCTCTTTGTATAGATTTGTGCTTAACTACAAACAAATAAACCAATTTTGAGACAACAAATATTTCTTGAACGGATTAAGTTACTGAAATAAACAGGAATCAATAACTTTAGAAATTTGAAAGTAATCGTAATTTATTGGATGGTATTGATGAACGATCTTGAGCTTTGAAATAGGGAATGGTACTTCTTTGATGCTCTTTACTAGGTATAGTTTTGTAAATACTAAATAGACATTCACGATCCCTGGTAAGAACACATGGATGAGTGTTCTATGTGATGGTCCTTGTTCTGTACTACTGCTCAGCGGAACACGTTTTCACTCTATGAGGTTTTTACTCAATATAGTGAGATCATTGTTGTCTCTATGTGTTTTACAAAGTTCATCAACTGTACGTGGACAATGATTTCAAGGGGCCTGTTTGAGGGACTTAGAGTTACAGAATTCCACCTGAGATATCTGCGTATAATATACCACGAACTATCGTTTACACTTGCATCTTGTGGAGTAACCGGCACATTGTCTTGGACGTGTGGCTGGATGCTTTCTTTCAGTGGTGCCGTATGTTATTCACATCCAACCCATATAAAAAATGGTACTTCCCCGTGGTATAGTAGTGTTACAGCATGTAGCATAATAATATATAATGAGTGCACTTTGACATATTTCTCGACTTTTCATGTGTTTTTAATTTACCAGTATAGATTTAACCTACAACCACGATAAATCCCTTTAAAAATTTTCACTAATTTGCTCTATACATTTGGGAAATGTTGTATCACAGACAGGGTGATAGTAATTTTCTGAGCATATGCTTACCTGCACTTGTCCCATGCCAGATACCACTAATACAGCTTTAAACAGTTTACCTTCCGTTTGCTTATATGATTTGATATAAGCTTGCGAACACGGCTTTTGTGTCACTTTTGAAACCCAAATCTTTTTTTATAGCTACAAAAGGTTTAACTTTCTTTAATTCCATCAGTGTGCGACTGGTAATATTCATGGAGTAGCCTGATTTTCTCTGCATGAATAACGCTTTTCCGTGCCTTACTGATACGGTTTAGCACTAAATACAACGTTTTCCTAAAAATGTTAAAATAACATTATGTTTGTATCTTTTCTATGATACCGTCTAAACATAAGTGAACGACTGTTGTATATCTAACATCGAGCAGCACTGATTCAAATATCCCTCTTTGTCAGAACAATACTTCTTGGATATTTGTTTGTAAGTTTGTGGAATTTCGCGCAAAGCTACTCGAGGGCTACCTGCGCTTACCATTCTTCATTTTGAAGTGTTAGACTAGAAGGAAGGCGGCTAGTCAACACTACCAACGTTTGGGTTACTCTTTTGTCAATGAATAGTGGGATTGACCGTCACTTTGTAATGCCCCCACGGCTAAAAGGGTGAATAAGTTCGATGACGGAATTCGAACCCGTGTCGCGCAGATTGCGAGTCAAGTGCCCTAATTACCAGGTCATCTTGGCTACTTATTATTCTCTTTGTTACCTAATGTGTTAACTTTCTGATTTGATACAACATTTATCTTGAGTACTTTTTAAGGTCACCATTACTATCGTGATACAGTTTGATTATGGTAGTGAAACTAAGTCGTCAAAAGCTGCTCTTTCAAGTGATTATATGCTATTTTCATTTCAGTTTCTTCCATTCTCACACATTCATATATATATACACATATAATGAAGATTACTTTGCAACTTTAGCTTGGTATATTGACTTAGAACTAATCTAAATCTCTTAAGCTGGCCACACTTTGTCAAATAGCATTGAGAATACAGCTAAAATATCGCTAATATCGTGGGTACACAACTGATGAATCAATGCAACTTAATCATTACTAGTTTTAATTTTCTAAAATTATCCACTTCTGGTTACAATGTTATATTTAATTAGCTATATTAATTATTGAGTTAATTGTTAATTCTGACTTTTGTATGTAACGTCTTTGTTTGTTCTTGGACATTCGCGCAACAAGAGAAGGCAGCGAGTTAACAACACCCACCGCCATCCACCTCTAAGGCTACTCTAACTGAATAGTGGAACTTGACCGTCACTCTCATAATGTACTACATTTTATCATTTCCAAATTTATCGGACTGAGAATCCGAGGATCCATGGATCACGACCTTCTGCCGCAAAAACGCACATAACAGCAGCGATCAAATCCCATTCGGCCAGACAAGAGTGTGGACGGATTTACACATATAGTCTTTTGTATAGCTTTTCGCGAAAAT